ATAGTTATTATGGAATATTTTTAAAAAACACTTTAAAAATTTTTAAAACTATATTTGAAAAATTTTACAATAAAGAAAATAATAATAACAGCAAAATTATGTAACATATAACTTTTATTAATTTTTTTAACTTTTGAAAAAAATATTTTGGTTAATTTTAACTGGGAAGTCACAAAAATATAAAAAAAATAAAAGAAACATAAAAACTACAGTTCACTTAAAAATCCAAAAAAAATATTGGCATATTACAAAAAAAGAGCATAAGGTTTAATTACTATAAATACATATAAAAATATAAAAAAGAAATAAAGAAACAAATTTAAATATAACATTTTTCACAAAAATAAAAATAAAATGACAATAATTTTATTACAAATTAAAAATTGTACAAAAAACTTAAATTATAACATTAAAAAATCTTATATAAAAAGGAAATACTATTTTTTTAAATTAAAATTTGCAATAATCTGCTTTGATTTTTTTAACAATTTTGTATTCAAAATTTTTCTAGGTATTGTTAGCAAAAGTCATTAATTTATTTCATTTTACAGATTTCCAATTGCAATTTTTTTTATCTACTCTATTGCTTTCAAGCCCAATAGGCAAACAAACAAAAAAAAAAATAGCCTAAAGCAAGTAAATAAAATTTATATATATTTATATATCTTTACAAAACACTTAAACATTTCCAATTTTCACCGCAAATTGCATTTAAATTTCTTTTAGCATAATTAATTGTTTCGTAAACAGAAACTGCACAGCAGAAATTGAACTTGAATTTGGGCATTTACTCGTGTTTTCCCCAAATGCACCATTTTTCTTTTATTCATTTTATTTTCTTATCTCATTTTTCACTGCTGCAAGCGCTTTTCACTTTGGCGAGTGAGTGGCGCATGCGCACGCGAATCTTGGTCAGCGGAGCACAGCGCTGTAAAGCAGCCAAGCGACTTTTACAAACGCATTTGTTTTGCGGGATGCGAATGCTCAGACGGAAATCGCGCAACAGTTAAGAGCGCATAGAAAATTGTGAAAATGCCTGCAAATAAACAAACGCAAAATCAGTGAAACCGCAAAAATCAAAACCAAAAGAAAATTAACATTTTTTACCGCAAAATTGAAATGCACTTTGCAAAAATATCGACGATAATCGGCGGCCATGCACAAAGCAAACTCATAATCGCATATAAAAATATGAAAAAGCGCCTTGATGCATGCGCCAACAGTTGGTGGAGGCAATGAGCAAAGAAGAGATGACAAAAAGCATTGCATAAGATCAGCCGCAGTCGCAGTCGACAGCGACAGAGGTGCAGCGGCGACGCCATGCGCACTGATAAACGCCACTGAAGCGGTCAGCACAACCAAATAACGCGCGCTATTTGTTTATTTTTATTGATGTGGTTGTAGTTGTTGTCGCTGCCACCGGCTCAGTTGTCCAACGCAGTCACGGCCGTCTGGCTGCCGTTTTGTTGCTTGCGTTAATATTTTTGGCGTTATTGTTGTTGCTGTTGTTGTTTTGCATTATTGAATATGCTCGTCTTCTTCCTTTGGCGTATGAATTTTATTTACTTACTTTTCTGCTTTGCCGCTAGTTATCGCATGCGTGTTCGTTGCATTTTTCGAAGTTTTCGAATTTTTTACTGATCGCTTTGCGCTGCTTTTCAACAATAAACGTTGTTTTTGTTGTTGCGATTCATACTTTCGTAAAGAGCAAAAACTACTTATTAGTCTCAGAGTTTTTGTTGTTATTTGTAATGAAATATTTTTATAAACTTCTCTTTTTTTGTGATTTCCTTATCAAAACACGTTTTTGAAAAACAACCGTTATGAAAAATTAAAAAAACAATATTTCTAAATAGATGTATGTAAGAGAATCCAATAATTAAATTTAATCCAAATTCCAACCAAAAAATAATCCATTAAATTTGCTTCAAACCCGAAATCAAAAAATTACACTTAAATGAAAAAGTATTTTTTTTTTATAAAAACTGAATACTTTTCATAACCTATATTTGTGCAGGGCTTTTTTTAGTTAATATAATTAATTTTTTACTTCAATAAAAGTTTCAAAAAATTTAACAAAATTTTCTTAATTTCTTTTCTTTCTCTCAAAGGAACGGAAAGAATTCTGTGTGTGTGTGTGCCTCAACCTTCAGTTACATAAGTGCAAAGTAAAATAAAAGAAAAAACTTATTTTCGAATCAGATTACGATTCTGATTTGGTGTTCAAAAATAATATTTGTGTGCAACGTTAAATAAATAATAACATTATATAAGAAGTTAACTTCGGGAAGRCAGTGAATTAAGAAAGGAGAATAAGGTAAGTGTTTCGAATAATCGTTAAAAATAWAAATATTTTCTAAATACTATTGTGTATATGGCTATATTAAAAAAATTTTCCACCAAATACTATCTAACAAGTAAGTAGCCAATCCAAATTTGCTTAGGCGTCTAATTTCCATTCCTGCTAGTTCASTGGAATGTCTGAAGGGATACACTCCCAGGTATTTAAGTCTTGATCCCCCAAATGCGGGACGGTGAGGAAGGAGCTGTTGAGTAAACGCAACGTCTACACTCTAATTTATTAAATTTAAGTACATTTTTCACAATGTTTTCCAAGATAAACATTTCTCTTCCGAACTCATTCACACTATTCGAGAACATCTTCTTCCTTTCGATGACGCTATTGCTTTTCCAAAATATATTTGGCGTCTTTTGAATCGCAATGACATTATAGAAACTTRTTTTTTATTTTGTGTAAACTTAACCATAGGCACTAAGGCATGAAAATAATCTTTAATCTTAATCTTTTTAAATTTAAACAATTTGTATTGAATAACATCTTATCTTATGGTAYTATTACTAATTTCCGACTTCAAATACCAATTTTTACTCATTTAACCTSAAAAATTAATGTGGGTTGGCAGAAGCACCAAACTTCATCATTGTATATYTGCCTATTGTACGCTGGAGTTGTAACTAAGTAAGCCTTATCCAGCAACTTCGCACATTTGGTAAAATAGCAGATTTTTTTTGCACCCCTGCTAACCAATTCTTTAAGTTAGAGCAGTATAAGCTACTCAGTCTCCACCAGTAGACAGACAAAGGCAGTACTTTAGTGTCTCATCATACACCATACSTCTGCATTTCGCGGAATCTATTTTAACAATTTTTTTATCACCTCATAATATTATTTTTCTAAACGTACTAGTAGAAGCATTCTAGTCAGTACACCATCAACACTATTAATATTAAGCGCTGTTGCGATATGCCCTGTATTGCTAATGTTCTTAGGCCTGAGTTGTTCCTATAAGAGTACATTGCTTCATAAAACCCTTTAGTCCAAGATATTTTGGGGAAATTATGGGTACCCAGTTGAATTTTACCGAATTTTCCACTTAGAGTCTATGTTGTTATTGCTCCTGGCATAACCTAACGCATTGAAACTTGGTATGTATGTCTGCTATAGATCAACTTTAAGTTTAATATGAAGTCAGTGGTTCATCCCCCAGCAGTTTGTTTTAATATTTCAGTAAGAAACATCTTCGTTTCGCCACTTCTTTTTTGGCCATGTTCGAGCTTTGCGTTCTTGTAGTAAAACCTTGCATGTGAGTAAAACAACAAATTAAATACAGTAGCATACAATTCAAGAGAGTATGTGATTACCTCTTAAAAGTGGTATAAACTTGTGTTAAATATTTATTACCTATAGGCGAGTCTATGTGATTTATAATAGCTGTTTGTTCTATTCGCTACTCATCACGGTTCGGCAAACTAAAGACAGTTTGAATCATTAATATTTATTTATGTTAAATTCGCGATGAAACTTCCGTCTTACCTGCTAAAAAAAACACACTTGGCTCAACACTTAAAATTGATTATAATACCATTGTAATGCACCCACAATTCTTATATGAAGAAACCTGAAATTATTTCAAAATATGAAGTGTGCGGCTATTTTCGATATTCAAGTATGCGGTTCTTTAAGCCCTGAAAATTTAGTTATCAATATATTTGTTTATTTAATTATAACAGCTGCATCCAGCCACATTCCAGCCATTCATAAAAAAGATGTTCGGTTGTATATATGTATGTATGTATGCGTATGTATGAAATTACGAAATCACGTTGACACAATTTTTATCATATTTTTTTTTATTTTTAATATTTCTGTTTGCTCTAAAAAAACGTAAATAAACTAAAAGGGAATATAAAAGAAATTATACAAAAGTAATAACAAAAGTTGAATTTCTTTGTTAATATGAAGAAGAAAAAGAGCATGCGACGTTAAACTCACAAACTACCGCCACCGGCAAAAGCACAATAACAACAAAAAAACTCCCACAATTGTTTGCAGGCAAGTATAAACAGTTACATATACTCGCAAATGTATATAAGTATGTATGCGTGTGTATGAGTATCAAATTTTATGCTTTATCGTTATGCGCAGTCGCAGCCACCGACGCATTGAGACGTCACTTAAACTGGTGTCAGTGGCATAGCAATGCTGCGAAATGTAACCAAACACAAATATACATGTAACTTTTTTTGAACGCTGATGCGCCGCTTGCTGAGTTAGACATTGCGGTGCGCGTTATCTCATCGACAGGTTGCTTGTGTTTTTATTTAAAAAAAAAAAAAACATGTGTTTACACACATACAAACGCACTAAAAAAATATGCTTACATAAAATTGCATATGTGAGCGTGTATGAATTTGAAGATATGTATTATTTATGCTTATACTATGTAGGTGACACTATTTTTCAGCTGAGCTCAGTTGCTTGGCGACAATATGGGCTAACACGGCGGTTGGTGCGGCATCTTACCAGCATATGAATCTCATTATATTTCAAAATTTTTGATTTTTCGGTCATTTCTTTAATTTTGTTTTTAGATTTAAATTTTGTTTTTTTA